CATAAACCGAGGGCCTGGGAAATCCTAATTATGTTACCTCTAACTATGCAAAGCAAACCCATAGGTCTCGTGGACTCTCCCAGGCAGTACAGTCAAGTGGGAGAGGCAACTTTGGCACTGTCTGAAGCCAGTCTGTACATACAGAGATCCTGCCTAAAAGACAGCAGCCACACAAGCTGCCCCGGCTGCCCATTCCCAGTTCCCAGCACAGGGTGGAGCACAAACACCTGTAACTCCGGCTCCAGGGAACCCAATTCCCTCTTCTGACCTCCTTTTACACCTACACTACTTATGTACACACCTGCTCCCACTGTGGAAATCCCCAACATAAACATAGCTGAGTAGAAATGTTTTCTTTAAGCCTATCAATTATGATAACTTTTCCTGATGCCTCCTTATATTTCTGGCCAGATTCTGCACTTTTCTTGCCACAGTACAGGCCATGGAAAGAAACTAGACAAAGGGTTTGGGAAGAAACTATTAGGTAGTAAGAAATCAGCCCTGTTTGCTGATTAAAAAAAAAAAGAAGAAGAAGAAGAATCCTGCAAGCTAATCTTGCACTTCAAACTCTAGGCTTGAAACACAGCTTTATCTCATTGAACTCATGCTTGCAAAGGACAAGCCTGGCTGATGAAAATGAAGTTAGGGACCACTCCAATCTTGCTGACAGCTACTCTCTTTGTACTACAAGGTGATTAAAACCAAGTAGAGCTTAAATCTAAGTGTTGCCCTCTGGCTAGCCATTCCTGCATCTGTGATTCTGGAGGGAAGGTAGGAGATCTCTCAGGGTTGTAGGGTGTTAGCAGCTCAGTAGGGGATCAGATGTCTGACATGTATGGGGTCTTGGGTTCCATCCTAAAAACAATCGTTGGGCCCTTGAGATGATTTAGCAGGCAAAGGTGGCTCTCATACATGCACATGCACACACACACACACTCACACTCACACACACAATAAATGTGATGTTTAAAAATTCTCAAAGCAATAAACTGTATATAAACAACCCATGTTTTAAAAAAAAAATCAGAGCTTGGTAGCATGCATCTGCAATCCCAGCACTTAGAAAGTAGAAGGATCAGGAACCAAGGCCATTCCTCAAAAACAGAATGAAAGCAGAAGCAATGGTCAATGTTATAGGAAAACAGGAAATGCCTCACACCTAAGGAACGAATACCTACCAGTCCCACCTAAATAATTCACAGGCATGTACACGAAGAATAATCTGTTTTCTAGGAAAAATTAAAAGCACACATCAAAATTGTGAATGGTAGTTTCACTCCAAAACTCATTCAACATGAGACACTGTGCTTCTGCTGAACTACCATGTGACTTCACCCAAAATGAGACATGAAAAAAAAAAAAAAACACAAGATTATCTTTCTTTCCAGTGTCAGGCTGAAGTCCCAGAGCTCATCCTGCCCACTCTAACAGAAAGCAGTTATAGACCGTGACTGCTTGGCTGCTAGTCTCCAACAAGATTCCTGCCATGTTTCTTTTGTTCTTCAACACAATTTGGGATGAGAACAGCACTGTTCAATGGGATACAACTTTCTACATTCCTGTGGCTACATCCCCAGAGATCAAATCACTGATCACAAACCAAACCAATGCTGCTGACTTGCCCGACTCCTAGAATCTTCATCGAGCCACCTGCTTTTAATTATAATGTGTAAAGTTAATCAAACAGAAATAGTGAACTGGAGAGACACACAGCAGAAGAGATGTAGGTCAGGACACAGGTCCAAAAGTAATCCTGCAACTGTCTTCATGCTTCCCAAAGAAACCAGGAAGGGATTGGAAGTAGCTCTGGTAACTTGGGAACAACCAACTCCAGCTAAAGCCCCCATGATGCTGAGGCCTCATCTCCAGGTGCTGAGCATGTATAAAGGTAGAGCAAGGCACATACCCAGATACTTCTCAACTCGTGTAGGGCACAGGAAGCAGACTGCCATTGAAAATGGTACAATCAAAGGCGAGGAAGACCATTTATATCCACACACACCTTTCTTCGACACTGTGCAACCCAGACTGATCTCAGACTCAAAATCCCCCTGCCGTAACAGCAAACTGGTAACACAGGTATTTGCCACCACACCAGGCTTGTAGCCTTGGCCCTAGCCCCATGAAGAAAACACATCTTGTTTCCCAAAATATTAAGGGACACAGAACACAAAAACAACAACATATTCAACATATTATAGCTCATACACTGGGGATAAGACTCACACCAGCTTGTTATTTTCAATAAATTTTCAACACTTTGGTGTTCTCAGAATTGCCTTGCTTTCTCACAAATAGGTCCCACCTCTCCGCTGATCAGAAATAGAATTTACCACCTACACGGACAAAGACACACACCAGCAGCCTATTAAAAAGCACTAAGGAAAAAAAAACTGTCTCGGGTAGCTGCCTTTTCTGCAAGCAGCCACAGAAGGGGGGAGTCACGGGAAGGTTTTATCAGGAAGTGTTGACACAACATAAACATGGACTGTGGGCACCACACCAAGGAAGGAAACCACAATTATACCACTCTTGATTTGGATGCACTGCCACTTTAAAACCTCCAGACATGAAGGCTATGGTGAGATCCTGACAAAGCTGTTGAAAGCTACCAAGGGAAAGCAGGAGCCACACTAGAGACAAATCGTAACGGCATTCAAGTGTTCTCTATGCAAAATTCCCCCATCACTATCTTTTTTTCATCGCTTCCCTTTTTTTCAGTAACAAAGATGTTGTCAGAAATGACAATTTTTGTGTCCCCTGATGATGCCTTGCTAGCATTTGGTTATAAGCCATAAAGCAGGAATAATTTCAGCCTGTCAGGAGTCTTTGCTAATGCCCAGTTTCCCCCAGAGAGAATTCCTGTCAAATCTAATGAGAGCTCCAAAGGCCCTCTCTACAATATAATGAGCACTTAGGCCATGCTGGTGATCAGGCGGCAAAAAGCATCAATTTGAGCCTGGCTACACCCTGGGGGCCAGACGTCACTAGTTTTAATAAGAATTATGATCACCAACAGCACCAAATGACTGCTCAAAACTTACTATTAACACGTGACACTCGGAAGGATGTTTTTCAAATGTAAGACCACTTTAAACTGAATTACAGCATGACTTTGCACACCACTCTAGTGAAGGGTCTGTCAGCATTTGCAATATAAACTAAATTTCAGGGGGGCTTCATACTCTACTATGAAAATCATGGTGTCTCTTAGCTTCCCATTTGCTTCAAATTACCGGCCAAATTACACGCAGTGTATTATTAATGCATTTTGTCATACAAAGAGATGGTATACACCCACAAATGCCCAAGACACAACAGTACAGAACCCAAGAGAAAACTTTGTTCACACCAGGGGTGTCTGACCCTCCTGGCCCCTTACTCCTTCTCCCTATAGTAAAGAATCACCAGAACCCAGAATTAGCACACCTCTTCCTGCTTCCCAAATAAGACAAACCACATCACCTAGGTGTTACTTGCTGTTCCCTTGTACAAGAGTCTGCGGATCATTAAACTATGCCAGTGTATGTGTTTAAGAAACAGCTCTGTGCCCAGAATACATAATAGAGAAGAAAAAGTGCCCCACAGAGTAACTTAAAAGATGCAAAGTAGAATTCTATACCAAGTTTATTTACATTCTTAATTTAAATGGCCATAGACCAAAGATATTCTGACTAACTATCATGGACTTAAAAACCTCAACAAGGCACACCAGCCGCAGAGATACAGAAAATCAGCACCACATAAGAACTCTGCAAATCAGTAAGACAAACAAGTCTGTGAAAGGCCCATTACATTATGGAAGGACTTTGACTTAGCACTCTGAAAACATGTGTCTGAGAACAGATCTAATGTACATAATTATGAAATCTATGATGAATTCGAAATCAAAGTGTGCAGAGTTACAAAAACAGAATTCGACTCCGAAGTGGATTTGCTTAATGAAAATCTTTGACTATAAGGAAGATCTGAAGGCTGAACTAATCAATTTCTCCACCATGCCCCAGCCGGTCAGCCATGCTCTTTAATTTAATGAAACAAGGGTCTGAGATGAAATAGCACATATACATCAAGTAAGAACTGTATTGTTGCACTTTGAAATGTGTCCAACTGTGCAACTTCATCTGATGATAATTTTTTAAGAGGCAATCGATTCTAAAAGACTTATTGTACCAGCATTTTGATAAAGTGAATGTCAGCATATCTCCAGAACACTTGCACCCTGCCATTAATGCTTTCTTTGGCAGACAATGACTACTCAATTGAGGGTCCTTTGGGCTGAGCAATCATTTAGCTTTTCTTCTCTTATGAGGTCCTTAGTGTCTTGTTCCAGCTCAATACTCTTTTTATACACCATTATAGTAGCCATAAGTGAGAATTTTATGGGAACTTGCAAACTCAAGTCATTGCTACAGCTTTCTAGTCACTAATCTTTTCATGCTTTTAAAACCACCAGGACTGAAGCTCCAACACGTTCGCTGGCCATAAAAGGACATTTATTTTTTCTCCTCCAAATCTCCATCAACGGAGAAAATTTTCAGAAGCATGTTTGCTAATAACCCATTAATCTTGAGTGTCACTTTACAGAACACCAAAGCATAAGAGCACTCTAAAGTCACATGCTTTGTTAAATCTGCTTAAAGAAACTCCCAAGTACCCCCTCACTTTCCACATTTTATACCCAAACATATAAAAATATGAACTGCCCTAAACTCCAGTAACCACAATATATCTGCGGTCTTTAAAGGAAAAATATCTATCGATGTGGAAAAGTAACCTGAGCTCAGTTCCTGTCTGCCTGCAAACATTTCCAAAGCACTTCAGCTAGTCTTGTAACCCTGAAGAAGCAATCCTTGCTGCTGAGTGTTAATGCCAACGTGAAGAAGGGCAAAAAAAATTGCCCACAAACACCCACCCTATCATGCAGTGACTGAGGACAAAACCAGCAAAGTAAAATCCTATAAACTGCTTTCTCAGCTTAACATTTAGCTAGAGCTTACCTGTTTGTGCATTTCAATGTTTAATCCATATGACATTTCATAATACTGTAAAGAGAAGAACCAAGCAGGTCGTTAACTCACATTTTTGTAGTAAGAACACACACTATTATGTGAAAAGAAAAGGCTCCTATCTCTGATACCTACCATCACGTAGTGCCTCTGCATTTCTGTCTTTTCACTTGCCAATTTCTCACACTCCAATTTAAGACTACGAAAACAAAACAGGCAGTTTAAGGTAAACATTATGTCACTTGTTTTAACATCTGCCTCACATATTTGCACTTCAAGTAAAAACAATTTGGAAAAGTCATAAGCTAGGAAAACATCCTAAAAGCTGTCTTTGTATTCAATGGTGGAAAGGAAGGTGAACGACTGGAAATATCCATCAACTTCTGTTCTTTTTGTTCTTGGGGCGCATATCGTGTTGAGAGGGCAGAAGGAAAAACCTATCAAAAGATTCCTCATCTGTGTCCATCCTGCTTCTCTTGACTGCACAAAGTCTGTCCTTTGCACAACCTCCCTTCCCTAGGACAGGAAGTCTTCGTTTTGAATAACTTGCCTGGTAAAGTTACTCCAGTAACGACTAGTGCCTTTCAAAACCTTTCATTTTTGAATCCCTGCCAAAATATGACAAGCAGCTACAGCCACGAAGTGGGTTGAAGTTCTGAAGGGTTGAAGTTCTGGCCCCTATTCAGTAAGCGGCATGTACAAGTACACCTCAAGTTCTGGAGATATCATCTTAAAGCAGGTAAGAGCTCAAAAATCAAAACGCCACTGACAAAATAAGAAAATTTACACCCAAGCCACCAAGCCTTAAGTTGGTCTTTTTTCTCAAGCATGAGAAAAGTACGTATCTCCTTCGAAGTTATTGCTTAGTTCCAATGAGGCAAAATCCTGTAAATATAAGCAAAATAAGTAGCCTTTCTGGAATATTCACTATGGAAGGGGGCTTTAGCAAGAGTTTTCACTAAGAAATCCGTAGAAGAAGGCATCATTACATAAAAAACTCTGAAGTGAGGTCACTGTGAATTGTGATTCTATTCCCCTGGCTTATCCAAACACCCCAGAATGTGGGCCACACACATTATCTACATTCTACCGCCTCATCACGCACGATGGGCACAGCTAAACGCATCTAGCCCTCCCTAATGGACTTTGTCTCAGACAACCCAATTTTCTAGTATGGCAAACAGCGATTTCAACATGGCTTTGCTTCCCTGAACCCACACTCCAGAGCTGAGCCATTGATTGAACCCATGTTTTAGTTCAGCCTGTTGCAAAACAAATACACGAAGCGCAAATATTGACGGTTCTCATGCAACTCCAAAATACACGAAAAGGGACTCCCTGGAACAGCCGCAAATGCGCAAAGGGGAAACAATGGGAAGAGGAGGAGACAACAGAAGGGGAGGCCCGGAGAGCCAAGAGGGGGTAACATGAATGACAGGGCTTAACTGTGACTCCACACGCCACCGCCTGGACGCAAGCACTAAGTACACAGTCCTAGCAGCCTGGCCGGGTGAGAAAAGACCCCCCAGTGACCACCACCCTGAGCGGGTCGTCACGCACCTGTGATACTGCGCCTGCAGGAACTGGAATTCCTCTTTAATCCGGTCCAGGGATTCCGGGATAGTGAACTTAAAGGGCTGGCCTGCAGCCTGGTGCGGCGTCTGCAGGTGACCAGCGAGGGCCAAGGAAGGAGATATGAGGGTGAGGGCGTAAAGCAGAAAAGTCAGAGCAGGGAGAAGCAGCGGATGGGACATAAACAAAAAAAGAAAATAAAGTTAGAAGTGGTGGAAAACGGAGCCCCAAACTCGAGCCCTCGATTCACTTTAGAGAGGGAGAAAGCACACCTTCCCGGGGCCCTAATTTCTCAAGAGGCTTAGAAGCAAGTCTACCTCCAACGTGGACCGTGCGTGATCGGCGCCCTGGGGTCACCCTGCCCAGAGAGACTAAGAAAGGCCAGGCCAGGCCATAGCTTCGCCGTCCAGGCCACCCCTCCCCAAACCGTGCGATAAAAGACCCCAGGGACTGAAGAAGAAACGCCAACTCCCTCTTAACCCCCAGTCCTGGAGTGACCCGGCCGCAGTGACGACATGTAAACAGGAGACATAGATGAGTGGCAAAGCCAGGACAGGATCACTCCGGCCTCGGGATAGGCGGGTGGTGACTGCGAGACCCCCGTCCCGGGCGTCTAGACATCCAGGAGGAGGGGACAGGCGGGAGTGGGGAGCGGGGCTTCGTGGGGTCCCGAGCAGGACAGGGTCCCAGCCGCGTCGGCGACTCACTGGATGCCGGCTCTGCGGGAACATCGCTCTGGCGGCGGCCGAGGCTCTGTTCCGGGAGAGCTCTATCCTCCGCGCCACTTCCAACTTGAATCCCGCCGGGGGAGGCGAGGCAGCGCAGCAGGCCGGCGCGCGGGGCGCTCGGGATCCAAGGCCAGGGCGCGACGGGTGCGGCCCCCGCTCTCAGGACCACATCGCGGGGCGGCTCGGCCCCAGGCCTGCGAGTCTGCGCGGCGGGGGCGCCGGGTCCCACTGCGGTCCTCCACCCGGTGCCCCCCCGGGCAGCGCTCCCTCGGGCGGCTCACGAACGCAGACGGGCTGTGAGTCTCCTCCTTCCCTGCGGCGGCGGCGGCCGCCGCGCAGGTGGCGCCTCCGCTAAAAACCCACGTAGACAGCCAGCGGCAAGCGACGCGTCTCGGGTCGGGAGGTCACCCGCTCCCACGATGGTGAGCTCCGGGTCACCCGAGGCTCAGCAGCCGGCGTTGCAGAGCGGAGCGTCCGGCGCGGCGCGGAACGGAGCTGCGGGAGACCCAAGACGGGGCTGCGCTGGGTCGCGCCGGGACGCGCCCTCCCTCCGGGCCGCGGCTAGTACTCGCGGTGCAGCCCCTCGGCCGCCCGCCGCTCCCCCAGCCCGGGCATCAGGCCGCCGGGCGCGCTCCGCGGCTCCAGCGTTCCCTGCGCTCGCCTTCCCCCTCCCCGGCTCCCGGCGAAGGGCGGACCAGCTCCAGCCGCCGCAAAGTTCTCTCCCAAGCCGGAGGCAGACGTCCACGCGACGGAGAACGCGCTGCCGCTCGGCCTCCTTCCGCTGCGGGCCACGTCGAAGGCGAGTCCCGGCTCCTGCCCCGGGACGCGGGGGTCCCCGCCGCTGCTCCTGCCGCCGCCCGCGCCTCTCGCGCCGCTTACATTAACACGCGGTTTCACACTCGCTAGCGAACCAGCGCCCCGCCCGAGACCAGCGGCGGGGGCGGCGAGCGCCGGGAGGGGAGGGCCCGCCCCCCCGCCGCGGACGTGGGCGGAGCCGAGGCCGCTCAGCCAACCGCGTGCGCCGAGCCAACGTGGGGCGCTGACGCGCGCCGGCCGCAGCCAGTGTGGGCCTTCGCCCCGCCCACCTCGCTCGGCCTCGGTTCGCCTGGGTCTCCGCCCACCAGCCCGCGCCCCTCCTCCGCCAGCGCGTCCTGTGCGCTCCGAGGGCCGCCGAGGTGCCCGAGGAGCTGCGGGGCGCACACGCCAGCCAATGGGGAGCGGTCAGACGCCGAGATTGGCGAGCAGCCTCCGAAGGTCGGTGGGAAGGAGAGTCCTGAGCCCGACTGTCAATCAAAGTAACGTGGGGCCAGTCCGAGGGGGGGGCATCGCGCGCGAGGGCCCGCGAGCTCGAGCGGCCGGCGCGCGGGAGGCGAGGGAAGCAGGGGGGCCCAAGTTTGCAGAAGCCTGCTTCTCGCTCCTCTTTTCCTTGAAGGAGCTCTTAGTAAATGTACCTGAGACTAACCGTGGGGTTGCTTGTTGGGGGAGGGTAAAGCGTCTTGGCGACAAGAACGGGATCGCACTTTCTGATGTCGGTTCCCTTTGTTGGGTTTTACTCTGAAGGTGAGGCTCCATTCACAACTTTGTCGGAAGCTTATTTGTTCCTGGAGCTGCCTTTCCACGGACGCACGAGAAGCGAACCCGTGCCTTTGATGGGAACTGCGTGAGCATCGCGGCCGCCGGCGCGCGCACACCATCGCGGGAAGACCGGACTGCTCGCCGCACAGGCTTGGAAAGACTCCGCACCACTTCAATGAAAGGTCGACCTGACTCGGTTTGGCGAGGAAGATCCCTAAGGTGCAGGCGGTGTTAGACACTCGTGCCCCATGCGCAGATGAGATGCTTTTGCGCCCCGCGAGAAATCTGGGTTTTGATCTTCAGATGATTTCAACTGTTTGGATAGGAGAGAAGTGGCCGAGAGTTTTAGGAGACTGCCGGAAGAGCTCTAGTCAGTTTCTGATTTCTGGGAAATGAAAGACAATGGAATAAACCTGCATCGGGACGTGAAACCTGCCCCCCCCCCCCGTTGCTTTGCTTGTACTCCAGGCAGAGACGTAAATGAAACAGCTTGAGGAGCTTGTTTAATGAGGATTGACATAAGAGGAATTTCAAGTTTTAAATAAAGGAGACATGCTATGGAACTAATGCTGTGAGTCTCTGGTTTTTGTCTAGTTCCCTACCTAGCAAAACACCTGCAGCGTCGCCACACGTGGGCTTTCTCCAAAGAGCAGTTCGTGGAGCTGTAGGGTTTTTGTTGGTTTGATTTTGTTTTGTTTTAATGTGAGCCACGAGTGAATGATGTTGTTTTAGCCTCCTGGTGGTAACTTCACTGGTAAGAAAGGCACCGCCTGGGCAAACATTTATCTTTTGTTGACTACTAGTTAACAAATTTGGGGCATTAATACCTCCATCCCCATTATTTTACCTTGTAGATACTTATCGGAAGGAACTTACTGAAATACATGTGAATTTGCTTTTGGCATATTTTTCTTTGAAATATAGAAAAGATAGGTAATGCATCATGGTACTTGGAATGTTCATTTTAAATATGCATGCTACTGATGGTCTGTGAATGCATCAATTCTAATGTCAGTTGTAAATGAAAAGCAAAGGAACGGTGTCAGCCAAATCTGCATACCATAGTAAACACTTAAACGGATTCAGTGTCGTTTGAGGTTGTTTTATGTTACTCGCTTTTTATAACATGCCGAGTGAAAAAGAAGAAAGACAGGCCTCTGGAGTGATGCCTGAGTGAGCCAAATGGGAAGTTTTGAACTCCTGCGATCCTGGGTAACTAACATGCTCCTTGAAATCACCCTTCAGTGGTTTGATCTCCCCAGTCGCTGGCCTATCCCTGTGATCAGCTCCCAAGCTGGGGAGGAAGTGCTTGGAACACCACAAGCCTCTGCTTGTGCCTACTGTGAAATTTTCTCCCTGGACTCCCATCGCCAAGCTCTGCCTCTCAGGTGCCCCTGCACTTAATGGAACGTGGTGATAATTAAGTTTTAAAGTACTAGGTTTAGGGTCAGAAGCAGAAGTGTTGCCACATTGCCCCACCCTCCACATCAATGTGAACTCATTGCTTTTACTCTCTACTAACTTCAGAGAGAGTGCTGTCCACTCACTGGAGTTTCCAGTTTGTTCTGAGTGAAAACTAGAATTTCTCTCTTAACTAATCTTTCTTAGTACTAACTTTCAAAACCAGGCCAACCCTTCGGATTTCTTTAAAATGCAGTATGCAGTTGGGAGTCCGTAATGATTTTAAATTTTCGAGCCCTTTGATTGCACATATAAAAATGTATTACATTTTTTTAGAAAAGACCTTGCTTCACATGTCAATCCCAGTTCCCTCTCCCTCCCCTCCTCCCGCACCCCCCCTACCATCCCCCCAGCCTCCCACCCTGTCCCCACTTCCTTCCACAGGGGATATCTAGAGTCTGTCATTTCACTGAGGGCAGGGTCCAGGCACTCCCTCAAGAGTCCAGGCTGAAAGAGCATCCCTTTTGTGTTATGGACACACGAAGTCCATTTGTAGGCCAGGGATAAACACTGATCCACTGCCCAAGGCCCCATGGGTTTCCCAGGCCTCCTCACTGATTCTCACATTCAGGGGTTTTGAAGGCATCTTTCCATTCAGGTCATCTTTCTTGAGACTAGAAAAAGGCTGTGTCCTTTTTCATTTTCAAGGTTACATTTACTCTTTGATTGGCATGCTGTCATAATTATACTACAAAACTCTTATCAAACTGCATTACAGATGATGGTGTTTAAGACAATCAAGTTCTTTAATCCTATGTTTGAAATAATATATATGCAATTGCCTGTAACTTAGTTAAATGAATATGGTCTTGCTCATTCAATCTGTAATTTTGCTATTTCACATTTTTGTGTATGCTTGTTTTTTTGAGACAAGGTCTCGTTCTGTATCACAGCTAACTTAGAACTCACAATATAGGCCATGCTTGAATATGTAGCTCTCCTTCTCACTACCTCCCAAGTGAGGGGATTGGCTGCAGACATGGACCACCATGCCTGGCTTTCGTCTTTTAAGTTGAAATCTGTTAACCAGCTCCATAAGAAATTGTATTGGGGGAAAACAATACCAATTTCATCCACTGTAGTAGATGCATATATAAGTGTGTTTTCATTCAATTCTTGCTTATTACAGTGTCTCAACTCAATGTGAATAATGATTTCAAATAAATGGTGGTGGCTATTTTGTTTTCTTTTGTTTTTGAGACAGGGTTTCCTGTAGTCCAAGCTAGCCTCAAACTTGCCAAGAAGCACAGGATGACCTTGATTCTGATTCTCTTGCTTCTAGGATTCTGAGAGTACCATCACACAGGGTTTGCTCAGGTATTCTACCAGCTTAAGTACATCCTTGACCTTTGTTTTGCTTTGAGCTATTTATTTATTTATGTATTTATTTTAGATGGGGAAGGGGAGTGTCTTGCTTGTAAACCTGGCTAACCTGGAGCTGGCTACTTATATCCAGCTGGTGTTGAATTTATAACAGTCCTCCTGCCTCTGCTTCCAAAATAATGGGATTATAGGTGTGAGTCAACATGCTTGGGCTGGGTTGGTTTGGTTTTGGTTTGAAGTGTTTTGTTAAACCTGGAAGTAGAATCCAGAAGAAAATTTCCCAGCGGTGCTTGTTACATTTCATTCCTACCCCACTGCTAAAGAGGAGGTGGAGGACAGCAGGCAGAGAGGGAAAAGAAATCAGTAGCAGATCCATGCAACAGTAAAACCGCAAATAAAATCACATCCAAAGAATCTCTTGTGGTTTCACACAATATGGTAAAATTAGAGATTGCAGGAAACCGACCAAATTAAACTGGGAGCATTTGAAGAGAAACCAGCAGACGTTATGAAAACTACACATTGGCTGACCAGTATGCTTTTTGTCAACAATTTCTTTGTTAAGATGAAGATCAAAGGGACCTGCATATGTTTTCATTTTGTTCTAACTAGAAAATTACATCCAGATGTTTAATAGTCATTTGGTTGGTTTTCAGCATTGATTAGATATGTTGGTTCTGTTTGCTTACAAGTGTGGCCGGATCATTAGCTAATGCAAAGAAATGTTTGCTGTGAGTTGCTAATTAGGGCTTTTGGAAACTCTCCATGCTCAAGAACAATTTGTACAGTGGCCAGAAGAACTTGAGGGACTTAGGGAAGTTGTTTTTCCTCGTCTGGCATGGTGGGCAAAGGCAGACAGCCCCATTCCCTAATCTCCCTGCCTAGGGGGATTGTGATGGATCCCCTAGGACAGAAGAACAAATAAATTAGGAAGAGACCACACAGGCACTCCTAAATACACAGATGAATGTGCTGTTTCTGGAGCCACCACTAAGTTGTAAGGAGGAGAGGAATACCAACAACATCTGAAACGCTAAACATTAACATGTGGGAGATGCTTGGTGCTAATGTTATCAAATACACAGCATTTCTAGTATGCTTTAGAGACAGATGGGAAAGCCCTTTATGATAAATGAGTGTACTTGAATTCATTACTGTAGTACTTATAATTAAAAAGGTCTCTTTTGCAATTTCAATACTTGTACAGGATAAGACACCAAGCTTGAGAAAACAGGGGCTAGTGAAAGGAGAGGAAAGGAATTCTTGACACTGGGATGAGGCTGGGAGGAATTGCAGTGTTTACTTTTGCAGCCAAGCCATGTGTTTACCTCATTAAAGCCCCCAAACTTGTAGGAGATTAACTGTTCACTCAGTATTCAAGTAAACTGTTTGAGAACTAGAGGTGCTACACTCTGAAGTTGGAAGCCAGTCAAATTAGGTTATTAAAGAGCCTTAGGTCTGTGGTCGTAGAGCACTACAGTAAGACAGGGACAATCTTTTGTTTATCTGAGTTATTTCAAGAGAAGTATCAACTCAAAGGGTGTGTGTTTATAAGCAGATGTTAGCGTGCTGAGGTAGAAATGCCACTGCTCTGGGGGTTCTTTTGCTTATTGCTCCCTTCTAATCCTGTTTACTTCTAATACATTGGGACAGCTTATTCCTTCGTGTTAGTGTGGTCCAGTTCATTTGGGGTGTTTTTTGGACGGGGAGGAGGGTCATGTAGCTCAGCTGGTAAGACAGTTGCCTAGCTTGCAAGAGGCTCTGGGTTCAGTGCCCAGTACTACATCAACTGGGCACGGTGACATACGCCTATAACCCTAGCACTTGGGAAGCAAGACGACCAGAAAGTTCAGGGTCACCCTCCTGAAGTCCAGTCTAACGTGAGACTGTCTAAAAAAAACAAAAAGAAGTGGTGAAGGACTTTCACAGCAATAAAACATTCAAGGTTAGATTCTTGGAAGGACTTCAAGAAGAAGAGGTTCCTGTTAGCAGTTTTCTCTGTCCACCAGCCAGGTTCCTTGGTAAAGCAGAGTTAGTATTTGGGAACCTGAGCAAATGCTACCCAGAGTTCCAGTCGTAAAGGATTTCAGTGAGCACACCTCTGCTGTTATTTTAATCCACTGTTAAGTTGATCAAAGTTCAGTATTGCCTTGGGCTGGACTGTATGTAGCTGAAGGACATTTGACAGACAAGACAGAAGTGATCTTAACAGCACTTTGATGCTGCTTCCTAAAATTTGCATAACAAAAGGGGACACATGGCCCCTTTAATGACCGTAAGGCAAGGAATAGCTAGGAAATCAATAGACAGGTTGAAACAGATACTTTGAAGATCTTGAAAGCTTTTGTTCTGACAATACTATTTGAATAAACTTTGTGGAACTAACCTGTGGTGATACATTGCTTATGATTTATTAAAATCCCTGGAGATCAAAATAGCAAAGCAGTAGTACTAGTTAGCCACAGAAGCCAGTCAGGGGTGACATACACCTTTAATCCCAGTACTCAGCAGGCAAAGTCAGATAGATCTCTGAGTTCAGGGCTACACAAGATTGAAATAGCCTAAATGAGTAACAGAGCTCTTGTCTTTAATCCCAGGACTCATGAGAGGTTTTTAAGACAGGATGGGGTTTAGGGGTGGGGAGAAGGAGGTCTCAGAGCTGGCATTCATTTTCTAGCCATGCTGAGGAGAGGCAGCAGTCTGAGGCTTAGTGAGAGCTCCTGGAGATAGGATCAGTCCTTTCCTTTCAGCCTGAGGTAGAGGTAAGAGCTAGGAGCTTGATT